AAAAAAAAAAAAAAAAAAAAAAAAAAAAAAAAAAAAAAAAAAAAAAACAAAAAAAAAAAAAAAAAAAAAAAAAAAAAAAAAAAAAAAAAAAAAAAAAAGCAAATGCAAGCAAGCAGTGTAGAGATAGCTGGGGGATTAGAGCATTAAATGCTCTTCCAGAGTACCTGGGTTCAGCTCCCAGAAACCACACAGCAACTCATAACCCTCTGTAACTCAAATCCCAGGGGATCCAATACCTCCTTGGGCACCCAGGAATGCATGAGATGTGCAGACATACATATGGGCAAAATACCCATACACATTAAATAAAATTTATTTTTTAAAAAGCAAATGCAGCATGATACCATATTTCTATAAAACAATGGCAAAAGCATCCGGAAGGATAATAAACTAACCATTCTGGCGAGTTGAGTGGCACAATTATTATTATTTTCTCTTCATGTACTTTAATCAATATTCCCTCCAATCATCACAAACATTTCGCACAAGCGAAAAATATTTTTAGGATAGTATAAAGGTTTTGTTTTTGTTTTTTTAAGCTGCTAAGGAGGAAGTGCAAAAAGAAAATTCCCCTTTGTATATATCAGCAGGATTCCAAGTATGCTAGAAGGAAAAAAGCCATGACCTACAAAGGAAGAAAAGATTTGACAACAGGTCCGTTAGTGCCTAAGGGCACATCCTTCAAAGAAAGGGGTCTAAGTCCTAAGAATTCTTCCCAGATTTGAGGAAAGTAATCAACCTATTTTTGTTGTTTTTTCCTGCTGTTTACCACAGAAACACTTCAATGAAGTATCCTGGAGAGGGGAAGCTGTCCCTTTTTAAAACCATGTCGGAACACCCAGGTTTGGTTTTCTGGTCTGTCACGGAGGGCGAAAGGTGGGCGGATACACTAAAGGAATCTGCGCGAGCAGTGAGTCACCTGCAAGGCAGCTGTTCCCCCAACCTCCACATCAGACACAGGGCGACAAGAAAGCCTCCCAAGCGTCTCCAGAATAGAACACTTGGGAAACTGCAGGCTTTTCCAAATTTCTGGTACGAATAGCTGCCAGCAGTTTCTGAAAATACAGCACAAAAATCGAGAGGGTCTCTTCTACCAATGCAGGTATAAATGCTTCCCGAAGCTTATTCGGCGCTCCAGATGCAAACCCAAGGCATTCCACGATTAAGGCCACATCCTAAAATATCGTGGTTTTCCCAACTGGGGCAACTAAAAGCATCCTGCCGCCTCTCAGAGCCAGTAAATATCATCTTGGCTAAAATCCTAACGTTTAAACAAACCACTTCGGAAAACTTCGGCTTCAAGCAGCGACACGGATCTCAAATCCTTGCCAGGCTATCGCCCTGCATTCCTTCCAATAACGGCGCTGCTACCTGCTGTCAACCCCGGCCCCACAAACTGAACCAACAGAAAAGGGGAAATCCTTTAAATCCGCAACACAAAGGAGGCTAAAAAGGAGCTCTGGCTTTCAGGATGGCAGCTATCACACATCACAACAAAGGGCCGAGTCCGGGTGACTTCATCGAACCCACCAGGCAAACGTCACCGCCCGGCTTTCGGGGTTATTGTCCCCAGTCCCCTGCACGCCCGCGCTGCCTATGTGGCCCGAAAAGTGAAAGCACCCCGATCTGCGGGTGCCCGTCCAGCCCAGATGCAGGCTGCCCGGCCGGCGGCCGCGGGCTCCCCGGGTGCAAGCGCCAGGCAGAGCCGCCCGCTCTGCCGCAGCGGTCCCCGGGAGCGCGCGGGCACACAAGCGGCGACCCGAAGAGGGTCGCCGAGGAGGGCGGTGGGCCAGTTGGGGGTTACACTCACCCGCCCAAACAAGCGGCGGGTGGGGAGGGTGGCAGCCGGGAGCGTTCCGGACGCCGCTGTCGCTGCTGCTGGCCGCCGGCCTCCTCCCCTCTGTTTGGATTCGATAGACCACGTCACTCTTTGCCACGAGACCCGGATCTGCCGGCTTCCGAGGGCGGCGCAACAGATTGCAGCGCCCCGAGCCTCCCGCGACCGTACCTCGTGAGCATGCGCGTGTCGCGCTGGCCACCTGCGTCGGAGGGAGGCGGCTCCCGCAGCTTCTGCGCTGACGTGCGTGGGCGCGCCGGGCGCAGAGGAGGCAGTTCCGGCGTGGAGGGGTGGGGCTGCTCCACTGTGAAGGAGGGGCGCCCGGGCTGTTGAATTGTCCCACGTAGTCTCCGCGTTGGCTTCCGTGGTCAGTATCGTCTGACGCACATACCCGTTTGCTGAAGGAATGGCTTCTGGCCTCCGCAGCGTTTAGTCACACCTAGGTGGAGGTGCGCGCAGACTAATGTCTGCTGAGACCCTGTCCACCTGCAGAGGTGCTGGTAGTTGACCGTAAGGTTCCAGTGAAAATCGGAACTCGAAGATTACGGGAGCGTATCAACTGTGGTGGTTTGAGTGCTCTTGATGATGTTCCAGTTTTGGACCGGAAAGCAGACCTAAATTAAGTAAAATTTTAACGCTAAAAGATGCATTTTAAAAGCCGGTGTAATGGCTCTAAAGCACAGGGAGACAGGGAGGCTAGTCTACAGAGTCCCAGGATAGCCAGAGTTACAAAGAGAAATTCTGGCTGGGAAGGGCGGGTATGTGAAATTGAGGCCAGCCAGTGCCACGTAGAATATGTCGTAATTTTTTAAAAAGTGAGGGGAGCCTAGCCATGGGTTTGGCCTCCTGGTGAAGGAGGGACGGTAGCCAAAGGAGGGTAGCAGCGCTACATTCTTGGGCTAGGGAGGCTAAGAAGCAGTATTTCAACAATCCAAACACAACTTCATACCTATGTAAGAAAGGTGAGGGAACATCAGCAAATAGAAGTATGGAGCCTGATGAGCAAGAAGAGCATCACTGGAAGCAGGTGTGGAAACCCTAATTCTTCCGATGTATCCATGACTTCAAGAAACTCTGTGATAATTAAGTAAAAGAAAAAAAAATCTGAGAATCTGAAGTCTGGACAGAAAATATTAAACAGAAAACATCCACATGGAATTTCATCTTCTTCTCTAATATTTTAACAGTCTAACAACAAGGAAAACAAAATCCTTTAAAGTAGTGCTGTGCAAGTCTGTGCACACACAATCAACAAGGACCTACATATATGATTTTCATTCATTCATGTGTGTGTGTATATATATATATATATATTACATAAGTATTAATATAATTATTGTTTTATTTGTTTTATTTTTTGAGACAGGATTTCTCTTGTAGCCCTGGCTGTCCTACAACTCCATCTGTAGACCAGGCTGGCCTCAAACTCACAGAGATCCACATGCCTCTGCTTTCCAAGTGCTGGGATTGAAGGTGTGGGCCATCACTGCTGGGCATTTAATTATATACATATAAAGTTTTAGAATTCGCCTTATGAGGGCTGGTAAGATGGCACAGCAATGCTGCAGAGGCGTGAGGATCTGTATTCAAATCCTCAGACTCCATGTAAAAAGCCACGCACACTCAATTGTGAGAAATGTTTTTCTTTCTCTCTAAGACAGCTAGCCCACAAAGGGTTAATATCCCATAAATCTCCCCCAAATTTAGTCTCCCTGACCTTGTAAAACTTTTATGCAAATCTTTTTAAAAATTATATCTAATGTATATGTATGTGTGCTTGAGTGTCTATATGTACACCATGCAAGGGGCCCAGAAAGGCCAGAAGAGCAGTAAAGGTACTAGATTCCCTGGGACTGAGCTGCTGCATGGGTGCCAGCGGCCAAACCTGCATGCTCTGCAACAGGGTTAAGTCTCCTTAACTGCTGAGTCATCTCTACAACCCATTATGCTAATCTTTTTATCTTCTCCAAATACTAAACTTTTTTTTTTTTTTAATACCAAACACCACCTCTACACACACACCCCACACATGGAGTAAGGACCTTTGATGTTTCTAAATTCCAATTTCAAATGGTGGAAAAATAAGTCAGTTTGGATTAGTCTGCTCCTGGTTCAGTTGGAAGTTGGAGGATGACAGGCAACATGTTAGCAAACTCTTGAAAGAAGCACCAACATGCTCATTTTAAAAACTGGGAGCAGCTGTGCGTAGTGGCTCACCCCTTTAATCACAGCACTCCAGAGGCAGAGGCAAGTGGATCTCTGTGAGTTGAAGTCAAGCCTAGTCTACATAGTTTAAGGTCAGCCAGGGCTACCTGGAAAGAACCTGTCTCTAAAATCAGTTATGTTAACTCAGGTATGCTGGCACACACTGCATTCCCAGCACTGGGAAGACAAACACATGAGGATTAGAAATGCAAGGTTATCCTCAGCTATGTAGTGAGTGTGAAGACAGTCTGGGCTATCTGAGAACCTAGCCTTTAAAAAAAATCAATTACACTGAGGGCCTTCTATGAGTGCTATCTGGACATACCAAGTCTTAAGTGTACACTTTGATTTTACACCCCAAATAGTTTCTCCTCCTCTCCTTCAAGAAACTCCCAAACCTCCTACCCCCTTAGATCCACTTTTCCTAAGTTTCCTTTCAGAAAAGAGCAGGGATAGCAACTGAACACGCATAACAGGTTACAATAAGACTGGGCACAATCCCTCATATCAAGGCTGGGCAAGGTGACTCAGCAGTTGGAAAAGGGTCTCAAGAACAGCAAGAGTCAGAGAGTCCATGCTCCCACTGTTAGGAGTCCCATAAAAACATCAAGCTATACAACCACAACATATGCATAGGACCTAGGTCAGACCCATAGGTCAGGCCTGTGGTTATCACTTCAGAGAACACATCCTGCTTCCTTGATTCTGTGGTCCCTGTTCTCATGGTGTCCTTGATTCCTGCATACAGCCATGTGATCCTATAAACAAGATACAGAACATCTCTCAATGATTTGCCTCTCTTCTTCTTCTGGAGGAATGCTTTGGCAGTTATTTTGGCTTTTATTCTTTGGTGCTAAGGATAAAAATCCAGCCTCCTACTGGGTCTGGAGGGATGCCTTTACAGAAAAAAAAAACAAAAAACCAACAAACTATGAGGCTATGGATATATAGCTCACTGATGGAGTAATTGATTGCCTAGCATACATGAGGCTTGGGTTTCCTATCACCACGAAAGAAAAAAAAGAGAGAGAAAATGAAATTGTAGAAAATTTATTAAGAAGAAAAATAGACCTTTTGCTAGCACCAAGTGTCTAGGAATCAGACAAACTCCCTGATAGGCAGACAAATAGGGAGAAGGACCATGGCTAGGTAATAAAGGGGATAAACTTCCAAGATGGCTGCTTCTTTACCTGATCTGAGACAAAAGCCTAACAGCTTCAAGGTCTTGTGGGCTTTTTTTTCCTGACAGTAAGGTGCCTGCGGATGGAGTGGTTCAGCAAGGTCAAGGCCAGATCAGGACATGTTTGCAAAACGATTGTGGACCAGTCAGCCATCATGTTTCTCTTCAAACTGACCAACCCCTAAAGTAGAGGAGGAAGACCCTTCAGAAACTTTAAAAGTCCCAGCCCTCAAGGACAACCTAAGCTTTGGCTTTCCCAAGTCTCCAGCTTAGCTTTGCAGAGTGTCTTTTTTCCGTGTGCCCAAATTGTGTGTTGTGGTGCTATGTTTCCTCACTCTCTTAATGGAAACCTTTCTTTTCTTTTCTTTTTTTTTCTTTCTTTTTTTCTTTTTTTTTTTTTTTTGAGACAGGGTTTCTCTGTGCTGGCTTTGAACTCACAAATATCCACCTACCTCTGCCTCCCTGAGTACTGGGATCACAGGCTTGCACTACTGTGCCAGGCTCATAAAAACCTTTTTTTTTTTTTTTATGTTGTATCTCTTTTAAAATTTTTTTTTATTTATTACAATTTATTCATTTTGTATTTTCGTCCCCTCCCAATCCTGCTCTCTCTCCCTCTTCTCCTCCCATGTGCCTCCCCAAGTTCACTGATAGGGGAAGTCCTCCTCCCCTTCCATCTGACCCTAGCCTATCAGGTATCATCAGGACTGGCTGCATTGTCTTCCTCTGTGGCCTGGTAAGACTGTTCCCCCCTCAGGGGGAGGTAATCAAAGAGCCAGCCACTGAGTTCATGTCAGAGATAGCCCCTGTTCCCGTTATTAGGGAACTCACTTGGAGACTGACTAAAAACCGTTCTTTACAGTTAGTTCCTGTGTGCTGTGTTTAAGAACTTCCAGGTTATTGGGGCTTGGTCTCACACACCTTTAATCCTAACACTCTGGGAGGCAAATGCAGGTGTGTTGCTGTGAGTTTGAGGCCAGCATAATGTACAAAGTGAGTCCAAGACAGCCAAGGGTACACAGAGAAACCCTGTCCCTGTTATGCCCAGATCTTAAGGTCCCCAAGACCAACAGAAGCTGGACAATGTGTGCGAGAGCAAAGGGATTTATTCAGGCTTAAGTTTGGTCTCTCCGTCATCACCACTGCAGTGGATCAGAGAGGAGAGCCCCGAGCAGCTGCACTGCAGGGTTTTTATTGGGGTAGGAATTCCCAATTTAGCAGTTACAGGATTGGATGACATTCAGCAAAGGCAAGCTTGTTACAAAGTGATTGGCTAACTAACATAACTAACACTGAGCAAGCTATCTATAGACCTCAGGAATGTTAGGTTGGTGGGCTGCCCAGCACAGATGCCCATCCTGAGATAAGATATCTTCCCATTCTTGTGGTTTCCTCCAGGATATTCCTTGGGTCGGGAATTTTATGGTTTTCTTATTCCTGGATGACCTATGGCCTAGTCCTGGGACTGATGACTTTTTTTGGCGGTGGGGGGGGGAAGCAGGCCTGGTCCTCTCATCTCGAAACCCCCCTCAAAAAATATATATAGTTGTATTTAAAGAGGGAAAAAAAGCTCAGATTTGCTTCTAAGTATTATAGCTGAAGGGGAACTGGGTTTACAGGTAGTGGTGAATCACCTTGTGGGTGCTGGGAATTGAACCCTGGTCCTCTGCAAGAGCAGTAAGCTCTCTTAACACTGTGCTGTTCACCAGTCTCTAAAAAAAACAAACAGACAAACAAACAAACAAAAAAAACTAAAATGCCTTGATTCAGCCA